TGCCGCGGGCTTTGCTTAGCCCGGCGCCCAGAGCCGGGCTGCCGGCTTCCGCGTTCAGTTTTCCGACTAGTTTCTGAATTTTTTATTTTCAGCCAAATGCAGCACTCGGGAGTCTGTGTTTCGCTGAAAAACAGTAAAACAAGCACTCCAGTTAAGGGGATGTTGTAGTTTGACTTTATTTACGTTTTCAAATCCACATCGACTGCCTGAACTAAGAATGCACCAGTTGCAAGGAGAACTTGTGAAAACATAACCTATATTCATATCAGCCTAACTTAAATGTGGTTTTAAAACGGGGCTTCAGTATATAATGCCACTTTATGAACTTTGTTAGTCAATGTTCAAAATTTAAATTTAGAGATGTGTGTTATCGTTGTTATTATTGAGCCAGATGCCATGTGTAAGTTTCCCTCTTCTTTATTTGTTTTTCTTTTCCTCCTAAACAAGATATAATTAGCTATGATAATATTCTAATTATGTAGATCATCCCACCAAGGTCAGTAATGTTACTTAGTGTTTCTCATTACTGAAAATTTTCACTTCCTACTAATTACATGAGTCCTATAAGGAGTTGAGAGCTTTTTTTATCTTTACACGCTGCCTTTGACATTCCTTCAGTGTTTTCACGGCAGAGGTAGTTCAGGCTTGTACCATCCTTTTTCCACTGTCAGCTGTCGTCTTGTGATAGCTGGCCTCTAGCTGAGAACCTGCCGATAATCTCCTTTCTTTCCTAATGAGAGATGGTCAAGTGCTCCATGTAGTCAAACCTTTCATCATTATGTCAGCTGTATTCCTAGCTGTCAGTCTTTAAAATTTGGTAGCTTCCTTTATTTGGACTATAGGACTATAAGATCTCCAAAGTACACTTGGATGTTCTTGAGTTTTGGTTTAAAAAAGCCTCTAGAATTGAACAGATCCTTGCAGTCCTGCCCAATCTTGCAGTTACATCTCTTAATTAGGTCGAAGAAAGGCAGCATGACGTGCCACGCTGAGTTTTCTGCCTGTGCTGTTTAAATCGTTACGAAATGGTTCTGAACACTTAGGAAAACTGAAAATCTTTTCATCTTTTCATGAGCAACCTTCACACTGAGTAGCCTCATCTAATACATCTTAAGTAGCTTTCTATTTCCTCCAGAGACAGTTGATAGCATGTTCTTTGAATATCTGATAACCTGATACTTCTAACAGTGTTGAATTCCCTTTTTCCATTCAGGCCCAAGTTTCCAGTGTGTTTCTTTAGTTTCTGCTTTCTCCAGTTTACTAACAAGAGATTCTCCTTCTTGTAGTATCTGTAGCATTGATTTCTAGAACTAATTTTCACAAGTGTTCTCATGAAAGGAATGTTGAAACTTCATTTCAGATAGCTACGCTCTTCACTTCAGCCACAGACTTACACTTGAGAATATTGAGAATGTTTTCAAAATACTGGAAGGACTTCAGGCGGGTCATAGTAATTGTTCTGTAATCCTCTGCACCTGCCAGCTGGTTTAGGTATCTTTCTATAACAAGAAGAGAGCAATGCTTTTATAAACCTCTAATTTTTTGTCTAGTTAGCAATTTACTGTTATGTTGAATGTCGCCGCTGAGCTTCACACCTTCCCTAAGGCGTGGGTCTGGCTTCCACCCTGTGGGTAACGGGCTTTCACCAGACCCTTTGGTGATCAGAGGAGAACTGAGACAGCAAAAAGCAAACTACAAAAATCCTATTTTAAACTTTTTTTTGCTAGTTCAGCTCAAGGAACTGGCCTGCTCTGGGTCATGTAAGTGTAAGCCTCAACACAACAGAGGTGTGCTGGGATGCACTGACAGTAACTCCAATTTCAGTTATTTTAGGCTAAACTGGATCTTTTCCTTAAGAGAAATCCATTGAAACTTCAAACACAGACTGAAAAAAAAGTAGGTCTGAACTGTGTATCAGAAGACACAGGTGTAAATTGTAGGATAATTTTAGTGGTGTACAGAGTTGTTATGCCCTAGCTCTAATGTAGCAGGTCATCTCCTACCCAGCAGCTTTTACTTCCCTTGTTCTGGTTCTGATGCTTATCTGAGCACAAAGTCAGTTTAACTTGCTGATCTGACAAAAAACTAACCCCGTCAAAAAGAAAAAGGTGCAAATAGCTTTCTGCTTGTTCAGTGAGTTTAACAGGCTTAATGGGGTGATGTTGTGAGCATCAGTAACAACTCAGAGGAAGCAATAGCAGCTTGTGGAGGAGGAAACAGTGGAAACAGGTCTTGTCCTTCCCTCATGGTGTCTGGTGGTGAGGATTAGATGCTTCAGAACACACCATCTCACTTTCAGTAATATTTTTGTAATCTGGAACAAATCAAAGCTCTGATATTCTTTCACTTGAAATAAGAAACTGTGTTCTAAAGAAAATTACAAATTTCTAAAAATCACAATTTTTTTAAATAATTAGGAAACCTATTTCATCAGTGTTTCACTGATATATATTAATTATCCATTTTTGTAGCATGAAATCTTCAGGAAGATCATAGTTCTTTTCAACCCTGCTTTTTATACTTGCAGTGACAAGCTTCTGGCAGATACAGTGGTACAAGCCTTTCAGTCAGGAATACAAAAACTAACTTTTATGACTGTAGTGGCAGATGCACTTGTCCTTGTTTTTCTTTTGTCATGACTACATAGAAATTTAAATATAATTCTGAGCCAGTAAACCTAAATAGCATTCCTGTCAGCCAGTGTCTGTGTGATACTTCAGACACCTGCCAGAAAACAAATGTTATCTGTAGCTTTTAGTAGTTTTAAGATTCCTGTTTGACAGAAAGTGGTGGTAGTGCTTACTGGCTCAATTTCAGCTGGGGTCACTTCAGCTGCAGACTACATCATCTTTCAGATGGTTTGTTACTTCTGCTTGTTAGTTGCTTTATGTTTTACTATGATTATTTTGCTATAGAGAGAGAATTATTTCTTTTCAAGTGTTAACTGTGAGTGCATCAGTACTGGAGGAAAATGGATCTGCATACAAAAATCCCTAAATGAGCTTGACAGCTTGTTTAGGATTAAGGCATAATTTTCATGGAACAAGTTTAGATTAAGGCAGTTTACACAGCTGACTTGAGGCACTTAAATTGAATGGTGGACAGGACGAAAACAGAGCGCTTTGCTGAGGGTGGCAGTTATGAAAGAAATGCTAGGAAGCAGTATGTAGGTGAGGTTAGCAGGGGTGGGAAAGCAGGAACAAGAAAATTATCTCCTTTAAGGAATATGCCTAATGGTTGTGTTGTGACATCTTCTGATGCCATCCCCCTCTTTTGTTTTGTTAGGTTGTTGCTGACAGTGAAAGACTTCCTCTTAAAGCTGTTTAAATGAGAATGTCCCTGGCACAAAGAGTCCTACTGACATGGCTTTTTACGTTACTCTTCCTGATCATGCTGGTGCTAAAGTTGGATGAGAAAGCGCCATGGAACTGGTTCCTCATTTTTATTCCAGTCTGGATATTTGATACTATTCTTCTAGTTATGTTAATTGTAAAAATGGCTGGACGTTGCAAGTCTGGCTTCGACCCCCGCAATGGCTCCCAAAACATCAAGAAAAAAGCCTGGTATCTCATTGCAATGCTACTTAAATTAGCCTTCTGCCTTGCCCTCTGTGCTAAACTGCAGCGATTTACTACAATGAAGCTGGCCTATGTGTTTATCCCTTTGTGGGCCTTGCTTATTGGGGGTATGGTTGAACTTGGATATAATATCTTCTATGTACGAAGAGACTAAGCTATACTATGTAGTTTTCAGCACTAAGATTGGCACCAAATTACTGGACTATTACAGTTTTGCCACAAAGCTGATTTCCAAATTAGAAGGCCAAACAAGAAATCAATCAAGCTGGAGACTTTATCTAAACCAGGCTGAAGACTGAAAGTAGACTTGTTCCATTTTTTTTTATTTTAAAACTGTCGCATATGCTCTTGTAAATAAAAGTATTTGTTCAACATAAGATGTTCTATTATGATTATTATTAGTTACATGGAATAAGAAACGGGCTTTTTGCATGCAGGTAGAAGGTCTTCTCAAAGGAACCACAAATGTTCTGCCCCAGGGTATTCAGCACATTGGGTAATCCTTGGAAAGAGGACTTAAATTTTCTACTACTTATGCTGTCACTCAAGAAATAACCAATTAACAGTAATTTCTATAATGTGCTACATTTGCTTTAAGAATTGGTAACAATTGATAGCTGCTAAGTAAGAGCAAAAAAGGAATAAAATGACTTAGCGTTTTCTTTTGACAGTGAGAATCCACTTCCAGACTGAAAGACTAAAAATGAACACTCTTTTAAAGCTGTGGAAACTGACAATAACCAGTATGTTTACCTAGGGCAAAAAGGTGGTAGCTGAGCTGTGCCAGCAGTCCAAGAGCCAGAGAAGAGGGAGACAATAGAGATTACCTTTCCAAGTGAGAAATCACCAGTGCTGTAGAAGACTGAAGCTATGGGGCGAGTTCAGTAACGCATCTGTACCTGCAAGAAGTGGTACGTTAACACGGAAGATGTTTTTTAATGCTGTAGTATGTTAAATCTCTGTGGGTAAACCCTTGGCTTTATGGAGCACTGGCAAACTCGGGTGTGAGGAAATAAATGCAGTGAATGGGACTGCTGGCAGAGCTGGAGCCACGAGCATACACTGTGGACTGGAAGTGCTCTTGCAGGAGCTATGCGAAGACCCCGTTCAAATACAAAAGTTGATGAGGACATTATTCACATGCATACTGAAGACACCGATCCATTTACAGTTTGTAGGTATAAAAGAATGTCTGGTGAATGAAAAGAACCCAGGAAAAACAGTCTAAGGTAACAGGAGGTGACTAAAGTGTCTGAGGAATAAAATTTTAATTATGTATATTCAGCTGTACTTTTCTGTAAATGAAACCCAAAACTTCCTGAAGCATTTGGATGCTCAATCCCCCAGAGGTAGGTATAAATACATGGGAACCATATTGTTGGAGACTGCTGAAAGGGTTTTATCTAAGAAAAGAGCCTGTTCCATTATAGGGACATGGATCTCAATTCAGAACATGAACTAACAAATGATCTTTAGAAAGCATTTAGGTTATGTCTGCTTCAGAGTGGCTACCTCTCCTACTTTGCTAAAGGAGAAACCAAGGAGTGACCAAAAAAACCCCCTTGCCAATCATCAGCTGTTGTTAAAAATGCAAAATATTTATAACCCCTTTAATAAAAATAATGTATCAGCTTTTACTAAGCAAATCCATGTTCTTGGCCCCGGTTTATAAGCATCACATAATTTATGGGGAGCTGAAATTGCCATTTAGAAATCTCTTTTCCTTCAGTGCCTGTGGGGCACAATGCTGTGTGGGAAGTGTACCTATGTCCTACTTGGTTCTGAAAAATACTTCATGGAAGGACCTTGCCCTGTGTGTGTTTGAGAGACTCCCTGCCCACTCATACGAGGCTCCTGTGAAGAACCGGCTTGCTTCACCATTTTTGCAGTTTTTCTAGTTAAAATGGTGCTTGTGATGAGAATTAGCTGGGGTGAGGGAGAAGAGTATTCACCTTGGTTCATGCTGTTGGGCCTGCTGAATGTAAGAAATGCAGGAGCCATGTGCTATATGTAAGTGTATGTGCATGTATGTATATATAGCATAGAGAATATGCTTAATCTGTACATCCAATTAAGGTCTCTTAAGCAGTTCTGACCCTAGTCTTTCTCCAGCTGACAATTATCACAGAATAAAAAGCAAAAAAGCCTTATTCACACAATGCCAAAACACCCTGTGCTGCCCAGGAGAGCAGAACAGCTTTCCTCACTCAAGCCAATGATGTTAACAGATTGTTATAACTTAACACAACAAATGATGGAAGAATAAGAACTAGTCTCGTTAGGACTTGGTGTATTATTAGCAAGATGGTCCACAAATGGTGACTCTGTGCCCTTAATAGACCCCTTCTATTCCACAGATGTAACAATTATCTGAAAGTCTGGCATCTCTAATTAACTAGAATCAAACACAGTTGTTCCAAATCTCCTTTTAATTGCTGCCTCTAATGCAATAGAAAAAGATCAACAATTTCAGCATTTTGGATGTGGGTTTTCTGCTTCCCCCTCCCCGCCTTTTTTTTGTTGTTGCTGTTAAAGGTTTACAAACCTTGAAATGACAGTGATTTTGAAAGCTGAAGCAGATGTTTCTTTGCGTCCTGCAGAAGACACACAAATTGATTTCTTTTAGTACAACACGGTTTTAGGACACAGCCATCTGGAAGCGCTCAAATTTGTTTGCAAGTTCCTAGTGCTTACAGAGATACTTTGGTAAGAGGAATATCCCTTTTGACTTCCTATTTTGTATCAGATCTAACTGACCTAAGCTGTGCTGACACCTCTGAACACTCAGTCTCGCTTTTTTGGGGGTATCAGAACTTCATTCAAAAGGATTTATGGAACAAAGGTCGCTGTTGCCCACTGTGACCTTTCCAGAAGCTGTTGCAGGAATTGCCTCTGTTCCCCGTCAGCCTGTTCTCAAAGGCACTGGCCACAGCTTTGAAAGGGCAGGAGTTCTCCTCCCACTTGTTCTTAAATTTATGGACTGATCTTCATTAAACAGAACCAAGTGAGTGAAAAGCAGATCTGATGAAGCTGGCGGGGAAAAGGGGCAGTTGATGCTGAGGCGGCTCATACAGATTTCCAAGAAATGGGCAGAGGGCAACGATGATGCGAATACCCAGCGCCCTGGAGAACACCATGTCTCCCTTCGCGGCTGCAGCCGACACGGGCTGTGGAGGAGAGAACTTTGCCTTCAGCGGCTTCATTTTAAAATGCACTTCAAAAGCTTGCTGTTCTGAAATGAAACTGGAAGTACTTATCATATAGTGATGATATATATAATATATTACACACATGATACATATATTGATTATATATGTCGTATATGGAGATATATATTCTACATCATTTATTTCTCTTCAAGTCATTTATACAAGCTCGAACACTTCAGCATGCATTCATTGTAGGTGAGTTTCTGCTTTTCTCCTATTAAGGAAAATACTCAATGCACATGTATGAAAGGTCACAAAACTAAAAGTTTTCCATTACCTATTCATACTGCTTTTCTTGATTTGTCACCATCTTAGACTACCATCCACCTTTCTGTTCTTTCTATACTTGAAAAATACAATTGTGTGACACACTCATCCCCACCTTCAACAAACTTCAACCTGAATGCTCTAAGAGCGTCTGTACACACACCCAAAGTGTACTGCTGGGCATGGGTGACAACATTAAAACAATAAGCTAGCACAGGACTAAGTTTCACAGCTATTTAAGAGATGCACAGTACTACAGAAACAAAATGCTCACGTAACCTCATGGAAATTTTCACATTTGCCCAGTTTAAAAATTGGGTGACACAAAGATATTCATGAAAGTGAAATTCATGAGACTCCCAGAAACTCAGAATTCTAACATTAGGTGTTACCTGTTTTCACACCACTGTATTTTGGGAACAGATAACATTACCTTTCACTGATAAAGCTCCTGAATAACTGCGTTGCATCATTAGAAATAAGTTCTTTGAATTTATTAGCACAGAAAGCATAGCATTGTCAGGTAACACATCACACTTTTTTTTTTTTAATTAAGGTTGAGGCAAAAATAACTCCACTGAGTTGGAAAAAAGAGCGTTTCTACCTTTTCATTGCACCTTTATTGTTTTAAGGTTTGGATGGAGTTAGTCTCCCATATGAGCCTTTCAGACCTGAACAAGGCCTGGCTATCAACTTGCTCCTGCAAAGCATCAGGCTTTGAGGACTAAGGCAATTAGAGGAGTTGCTGTAGTTGGGCCACTAGAGTACTATTCAATACTAATTCAATGTTTTCTCCTTGTACTGAAGTTGGATAAAGAGTAGAGAAATCTGCAACTCAGTAATGCTATTTCCTTCTCTCTGCCTTTTCTAACAAAGCCAACATCACAAGTAGGGAAACGTAAGAAAAGTCTTCATACAGTGCAGAATGACAGCATAAGAGCAAGAAATCGGGAAGAAATGAGAACCCAAGCTTAGTTTATCTGTGCTAGTTTTTATCTCAGTGTGCCTTCTGAAGTTTATAAATCGCTGCTAAAACATGGGGTTTAGTCAAAGAATTTAATGTCCGAGATGAACAAAAGTTCTCAACTGCATTGATTAGACAAGCAAGTAACTGCGCGTTACTGCATGCTTAGGATATAGCTTTAGCAATCCTGACTTAACATTAACCTTGAACAGACAGGTCTAATTCTCAAGGTTGTCTTCTTGAGACACTTAGGGAACAGCTTTCTCTGCTAACTGCCCTGTTTCCTCTCAATACAACCAGATACAAAAACTGCCATAAAAATCATCATCCTTAAAACACAGGCCTAAGCTCTGCCAAACACTGCACTTTCATTCAGGTGGACTGGAAATTAATTGGTAAAAGAAAACATCAAAATAGTTATTGAAAAATAAAACTTGATAAAAACAGAAGTTTAAACTGCTGTTTTAATCAATGCTTGTATCAGATTATCATAACTGTACACCAAATATTAAAGGACTGTTAGGACTAACGCCCTCATCAGCAGGCTCATCCATCAGCATGCCCAGAACATGAGGAGATCAATGTTTAGCTGGCACTCAAGGACAGCACGGCTCCAAAGCAGAGGCAATATTAGCACAGAGAAAAAACAGTGGTTAGAATATAATACACTAAATTTGCAAAGTCAGTATCCCTGATGATTCTAATGGAAATAGC